ACGAGGATGTTACATGTGAGTCTAGCGGGGGTAATCTAGACCCAGCCCTCTTTCCTGCCTATGCAGGGGGTCAGACTCCATGATCTATTGAGGTCACACATAAAAGCATTTTTTGCTCTATAAGGTATCGGTGGCCTTATCCAGTTTTAAGCTGCCAGAGATACAACCTTGAACCTCAGGTCTTTAAAGGAAGAGCTGGGGTTCTTCAAGATCCCTAGTTTAGTCATGGAATGAATTCATTTACTTCAGATTTACATCACCATTTGAAAACTAAGCATTAAATTACAATCCCAATTTTTCTGATACATGCAATGGCACAAGTCAGGAATAACTCCACTAAAGTAAAAACTCCACTGATGCAGAGAAGAGACTTGAGCTTTTCATTTTTTTTAAACAGTTACTGTTAATCTTTAAGCCTTTGTGATGATACAGATCTCACTCAAATAGCCTTCAGTGACACGTTTACTTTCTTTCACGATTTTCTTATACTACCACCACAAAAATAGTATTATTCTGCATCAGCCAGCAATATTTAAAAGCCACTTTGTAATACCTAGCCACAATTATAAGTGACATGTAGAATATACACTTCCTTCATCTGTAGACCTCAAAATGCATTATAAATATGAAATACACCTTAGAAGCACTGGAGGGTGGCAGGCCAGACTTATGCAGAAATGACAAGAAAAAAATGCTCAGAAATGTAAGCCATCTCTCAGGGGAAACAGAAGAGGACAGCAACAGTTCAGAAAAGAACACAACAACTCTTATATCCAAGAGAAACTTCAGGAGGAATGTGCATAGGCTAAACACGAATATTAGCTAAATGAGATTTGGTTAAAATCTTTATCCTACTAAAAAGACATTTGTAATAAAGTTGGTGTTATATATGAGTTATGACTTTCACCATAATACCCTGTAATGAGGCCATAACAACAATAAAGATGGATTAGATGTACTAGGTATTGATAGTTGATCCTTACATAAAATATAGGTCACAAATCAACAACTCCAATCAGCTTGCAGGTAAACCCCTTTGCTGACATGAATATATTCCTTGAAAATCCTACACCCTGGCATCTCAAAACAATCAGCTCTGTTTTTATTAGCATCCAGCTTCTGACAGAGGCAGAGGCCTCAGTCCCAGCCTTCTTCATTTTATAAGGATAAGCAAATATTCAAAGAGTCAAAAGGAGAAAATTATATATTTACATTAGGCATTCATTCACCAAAAAGTGGTGGGAGGGGGCGAGAAAAGCCACTTTGCTCAGGTGCAGTTTTGGTTTTTCAGTAAGGTTTCTGCCTTTCCTGCAAATGTCACAGCTGAGCTGGTTTCCTAATTTAGGAATTCAGGAAATCACTGGTACATTAGAGGTAAACTTGGCTACTAGCCAACCTTTGAAAAGTAAAATTACATAAAGGTGCTAAGGAACTGAAGCAATGACGAAGATACTTACCTATCTGTGGCATTACAGATACTAATGAAACAAACAGGCCAGGTTCAGATGACCATATCTGTCAACTGCAGATGTCTGAGATGAGCAGATGAAAAAAGGACTATCAGTCACAGCCTTTTTGCCAGCCAGTCACAGCTCCGTACTGAAAAAAGTTCCTGTTCTAAGAGAAATAGCAACTCGTTTGTGGCAGGCTACTACATGAGGATTTTTTAATTGGTATTTCCCACCTGTTGCACTATAGATCTTCTCCTGGCAGCTTCATTTACTCAGCTGTACAAATGCCTCTCAATAATGTATGCCTTATTACTGGTTGCCGGAAGAATCCAACATTACTCTGCCTGAACATCTAGATATATAAACCTACATAACAGCAGCTTCCCAGACACGAGTTATATCAGTGCCAGTTATTTTAAACATGTTTCACCTTGTTTATTACATTGTTCCTATTAACCCAGCACAAGACAAATTAGTAGCATACATCAGTACTACAAATAAATAATTTACAGCTTCAGGGTACCTCAGGATGCTGGAGTAAGAAGTATCATTAGAGGGTGAACGTTGTGACATGGACCTAGCCAGGGCTTCACACTACATATTCTTACCTTTCCACACTCTTTTAAACCACATTTAATTCTTTCAAAGACAGAGATGTTTCAGTGCATTCTCACAAAACCTGGTTTGAATAAATCTTGGATGACACCTTACATTGCTCTCAGCATTTCAACCATATTAGAGCTTCCTGAAGGCAAGGCACCGGAACCTCAAGCACTTTTTGCATTATATATCAATTAAAGCAACAACTGAACCAAGACAGCATTTCCATGAAGGGGCAAAATCAAGAAGATAAGTGCTTTACTCTGCAGGCTGAAAAAGTCATGGAACTTCTAAAAATTGTTTCCAGGTGATTCTAAACGCTGAGCTGGTACAGAGTACAATCTGGAAGCCTGACCCCTCTTAGCTGTCAGGCCCCTGGCAGACCTTATACTTAAGACACGATTAACCAGTTAATCGTGTCGTAAGTGGTAGCCCAGCCATGTGTTCAAGCAATTAATAGCACAAAAAACAGGGAATAAGCCACAAAATATGTGCAGTAATTTTGCAGATGGCTCTCATCACATCTTAAATTGAATGTGTGGCCAGTGTGCTCCTTCACACACCAGAAGTATTGTCTCTGAACATATAAATAAGATCTGAGCAACTTTCTACCTGTGGTGCTCATTCATCTGGCTCCTCAGTCTGGATAAATGACCTGGAGTTAGTCCACAGGCCAGATCTAGCCGGTGGAATCACATTATTTGACTTGCAGGGCAGGAATTTGGTGGTGGCATTTGGTGACTCTCTTCCAGGTTGCCCAATTTCTGGACCAGTGGGGAGCCTTAAGAGCTGGAAGACATGGCTGCATGAGTCAGATCTGGCCCATGGCCACATCTTGGTCACCCCTGTTCTATAATATAATTTTAAATGTAATGTTTTTATTGTTTTTGTAGTTTTCCATTAGCATTTTCACACTGTATGTGTAGAAGGGAGAGTACAAAAGGGAAAACTGGGGGAAAAATAAAATAAATTGGTCTCCAATCTTCCCAGACATTCACAAAGCTCAGCTTTACGGCTCAACTCTGTTGCATCGTGAACTGTTACTCAGTTCTGATAGAAAGGGCTGATTAATGAAGAAGTAAGAGCAAGCCAAGTAGGGTTTACACTGATCGATGTTGATCTAGTAAAGGATCACCTTGAGAGGCTGAACACCTTCAAATCAACTGGTCCTGACAGATTACACCCTAGGGCACTCAAGGAACTGGCAGGTTTCATAACCCAACCATTGGCAAAAATATTCAAAAACTCATAGCGCTCAGGTGAAGTACCTGAAGACTGGAAGAAGGCCAATGTGGTACCCAGCTTCAAGATTGGGTGGAAAGTAGATCCCGGGAATTACAGCCCAATCAGCTTGACCTCAATCCCCGGTAAAATTCTGGAGAAAATTATCAAGGAGACCCTTCTGGATAAGCTGGCTGAGGGCAGCATCCTGAGGGATAGCCAGCACGGGTTTGTCGCAGGTAGATCTTGCCTGACCAATCTCACCTCCTTCTATGACCAAGTGACATATCACCTGGACAAGGGAGAAGAGATTGATGTTTCATAGTTTCATAGCTGGTAGGGTTGGAAGGGACCTGAGCAGATCATCAAGTCCGACCCCCTGCCATGGCAGGAAAGAGTACTGGGGTCAAACGACCCCGGTGAGGTGTTCATCCAGCCTCCTCTTAAAGAACCCCAGGGTAGGAGCCAGGACCACTTCTCTTGGAAGTTGGTTCCAGATCCTAGCTGCCCTGACAGTGAAGTAGTGCCTCCTGATATCTAACCTAAATCTACCCTCTGCCAGCTTGTGACCGTTATTTCTTGTCACTCCTGGTAGTGCTCGGGGGAACAGGGATTCCCCCAATGGTCCCCCCTGACCAGTTTGTAAATGGCCACTAGATCCCCCCTGCCATATATCTGGACTTTAAAAACGCCCTTGATCTGGTGCCCCACAACCTCCTCAGGGAAAAATTTCCCAACTGTGGCCTCAGCTACACCACAGTCTGATAGCTGGGAAACTGGCTCTGAGGTCAGCCCCAGAGAGTAGTAGTCAACAATAGCAAATCATTATGGCATGCCATGACCAGTGGCATCCCCCAAGGCTCTGTCATTGGACCAGTTCTCTTTAACATCTTTATCAACAATGTGAACATTGGTGTCAGAAGCGCACTGGCTAAGTTCGCCGATGACACTTATCTTTGGGGCATAGCGTCCATACCTGCGGACAAGGTTAGTGATCTAGGCTGACTTGGATAAGCTTAGTAAGTGGGTGGATACAAACCTGATGATGTTCAATATCAATAAGTGTAACGTAGATGCTTCTCAAGTAAATCTCAGGATGTCATCCTCCCGCTGTACTCAGCCTTGGTGAGGCCACAGCTGGAGTACTGCATCCAATTCTGGGCTCTTCAATTCAAGAAGGATGTCGAGAAGCTTGAGAGAGTCCAGAGGAGAGCCACATGCATGATCAGAGGGCAAGAAAATAGGCGTTATGAAGAGAGGCTGAGAGCCATGGGACTCTTCAGTCTGGAAAAGCGCAGGCTCAGCAGCACTTCTTCCATAAAAAGTATTGTTGTGTCACCTTATTGGGAATTCAGGGAACGTGAAACAGTTTACTCACATTATAAATTTAGATTCTGCCCTTGAAGGGCTGGAGTTTGCAACACATATGACTTGAAAAAATCTTTATTCAGGATCTCTTGGCACTGTTGGTTTCTTAGGACCTTCTTACATGGTAGTTTTGAGTGGGTCCTAGAGCTCTTAACCCCTGAATTGTCCACACATTAACACCTGAAACTGGTTTTAAGCACTCATTATACAGCTTAAAGTTACACCAGTCCAGAGCAGGTTTATCTCTGATCCATGTTACCCAGCTTGTGTTACACTCTAGGCTACACCTTAGTGTAAACATCCTCACACCCCCATTGGCCCAGATCAGGCCCACTGTCCCCAACCACCCTCCCCAGCACCCCTCCACTTGTGGCAGCCAATACTATCTATCCCCGGGGGGCAAGCAGGGA